TGTGATTCTGCTATCTGTATTTGGGGTAGAAATGGGAGTTCAAAACCCAATGGAGTCAAATGTATGAAAGATGATTTATCAAGAGCTCTGTAATGTATGGAACAATCAATAAAAAAAAAGATCAAAATTTACCTATAATTCCATCCTTCAATAACTTAATGTTTTATTATTTTTTGTGAAATATCCCTTTCTCTGACATGTATTTAATTGCAATGGAAATTAACAACTATTTTATAAAAAATATGGATATATTACAAAATTATGACAGAAATCTTCTCTCTGGACATAAGCTCTACAGAATTATGCCTACTCATGGTTAACGGATTTAAAGAAAGATAAGACAATTCAATGTGGAAACTATAGTTTTCTCAAAAAAATGATGGATATCCACATGCAAAAACTAATGAAGTTGTATCCCATGCTGTCACCACATACAAAATTAACTCAAAGGGATGGGGATATAGCTCAGTTGGTAGAGTGCTTGCTTCATATGCACAAGGCCTGGATTCAATCCCTAGCAACACACACACACACACACACACACACACACACACACACAAAATTAACTCAAAATAGGCTATAGACCTAAATGTAAGAGCTAAAACTATCAAACCTTTATAATAAAACACAGAAATAAGTCTTCATGACCCTAGAATATGCAAAGCCTTCTTAGACATGCACAAGTAGTGAAGGGAAAAATATATAAATCATACTACATCAAAACAAAAAAATTTTGTGCTATCAGGAAAGTGATGGGAGAAAATATTGGCACATCATTTATCTGACAGGGGGTTTATATATTTTATTAGGAATTATATACCTGAGGTGTAAATCAAGAGAAATAGAAACATGTACACACAAAAACTTACACATGAATGTTCAGAGAAGCATTATTCCTAATAACCAAAAATGTAAAAACAACCTGACTATCCACCAGCTAATGAATGGAAAAAAATATGGTATACCTATAGAATGGGACATTATTTGGCCACAGAAAGGAAAGACATACTGATACATGCTACAATATGGATGAACTTTGAAAGCTTGATGCTAAAGTGAAAGAWKCCAGTCCCCCAAATATCACATATTGTATGACACCATTTAYATGAATTGTCTAGAATAGGCAATTTGTAGAGACCAACAGTAGACTGGTAGTTGCTGAAGTCCTGAGACTGATAAGGAATGGGGAGGGGMGGGAAGAGAATACTAATGGGTAAGGTGTTTCTTTTTGAGACAGTGATGGCTGCACAACTCTGTGACTGTATTAAAAGCCATTAAACTATACACTGTAAGTGGCTGGATTATATGRTACAGGCATGTCTCAATAAACAGTTCAAAAAAAAAGATGCTAAGTTTGTTAAAATTATAGGCTGGAATGAAAAGTGATGCCATCATTATCTACCATACCCACTGCAGTCCTGGTCACTTCTACCTTTCACTGATTAACATCTCCCAGAGCAAGCAATAGACCTAAGCATTGGCCGGCACCAAGAACTCACACCCCAAGGCTGTGCGTATGACTTGGTTCTTACTTGTTGCTTTATAACACCTTAGTTCCCCAGTTCCTTTTTCCTTTTTTTGGATCTTCAAAAGTTACCAGTTTTCTAAACAATACAACAGGCAGTGATATATTTCTAAAGTTGCCGTGAGGAAAGGTCACTTTTTCACCTAGCMGGTAGTATCTCTCAGCTGCCATATTGATTCAGTAATTCCTATTCAAGGCCCCACTGTTGAAAAATCAGAAGGTTTTAAAAACCAAAGCCCTTTTATAAGTGCTATATATAATTAAATATTCTGTAAGTATTCTAAAGTAACTAAAAACAGTGACTTATGGATATTAATTAAATCAGGAAAAATTAAATTTAAACCAAATTTAGTGTTTGAAAAAAATCCTTCTATGTCTCTTCATATGTCTATATATTTTAGTAAAATTTTTGTTACCTATATATTTTATAAAAGTTTAGATAACCTGAAGTCTTTGGATATGAAAACACTTTTTAAAAAGTGCTTTATGTGTTTTTTTATTGATTTTTTAAAAAATAAATTACAGTGGAATGCATTATAATTCTTATTACACATATACAGCACAATTTTTCATCTCTGGTTGTATATAAAGTATGCTGACACCAATTCGTGTCTTCATACATGTACTTTGGATAATGATGTCCATCACATTCCACCATCTTTTTTTTTTTTTTAAGAGAGAGAGAGAGAGAGAGAGAGAGAATTTTTTTTTTTAATATTTATTCTTTAGTTCTCGGCGGACACAACATCTTTGTTGGTATGTGGTGCTGAGGATCGAACCCGGGCTGCAGGCATGCCAGACGAGCGCGCTACCGCTTGAGCCACATCCCCAGCCCATTCCACCATCTTTTACAGAACTTAGAATATGTTTCCTGTTGTTTCTGATGATATAACTACAACTGACATCTGAGTACACAATTTCAATCTCTGAATCCTGGGTTTGTTTTCTAATGCTCAATACAACACCGTTGTTTCTTCAGTCACTTTCAGGCAAAGTCTATTCTATCATGTTTTTCTCCATTTTTTTTTCTTACCCCTAAAATTTTAATGTACTCACGTGTTATTAAAGAAAAGCACTGGGCCAATTAAGTCCTACTATGATGAACTAATTCATCCTCAACTAGCAGCCCAAGGCTTACATATTGCTTCACAGTTTAATCTTCATTAACTCACTTGTAAGAATAAACATTTAAAAAAACAGTGGCAACCCTAAAAAGCAGTTAGATTAGCAAAGAAAAAAGCATACATTTTTTTAAATGGTCAGATTTAGACTGGGGTTGTGGCTCAGAGCACTCGCCTGCACATGTGAGGCACTGGGTTCGATCCTCAGCACCACATATAAAAAATAAGCAAATATAATAAAGGCATGCTGTCCATCTACAACTATAAAAAAAAAGTAGATTTGAATAACTTAGCCTCCTTTTCTACCCTACTTCTGGCTTCTTGTCCTGTGTCCCCTTCTAGGTGAAATGTATGTTTTTCATACTTTGTGCCCACAGAAAGATTTTCTTTTGTGTAACTTCATAACTTTCATGGTTTCCAGTATACCTCTGAGTAACTTTCTAAATTGGTCCAGTGTCCTCTATATTAGATGCAGTGTTTTTAAAAATTTCTCATCAATCAAATTTTGGATTAGTGGTGTTTAGTCCTATTTTTAAATATTCTATTCCACTGTAAGACCAGGGATGTTGTTTTCCTGTTGCTTATTACCCTATGCCTACCCCAAGCCAGTGCTATAAACCCAAAGGTGAAATATTAATAAAAGTGTGATTCTGTTGTCATTCATTCCACATAGTTAGTTGAGATATAAAGTAAGTACTAGAGATTTATATGTGAGTGTGGTCATTTTTAGTCTTGAGTTTCCAGAAGGAAGAGTGGAGGACAGAAATTTTTTTCCAGTATTTAACTCTTAGCTTGGTGGTAAAGGTATAACAATGGCATTAGCAGAGACATAAAAACTGTCTTGGTATGTGTATACGTTAGATCAAGTACATAGTTATGCTTTAAAAAATTTTTGGCAATACTAGCAATCAAACACAGGGCCTCATATATGTTAAGCAAGGGTTTTACCACAGAGCTATATCCCGACCCCTGTATAATTATATTTTTTATATATTGATAAATCACATACTTTGAAGAACTAGACTTCTACAGTTTGACAAGAAGGCTATAATGAAGGGCTAATATAAACAGAGAAAATTGGCAGATTTACAACTTACTTTCATAAGTTATTCCTAACATGACCCATGAAGCCATGTAATTGAAGTATAGAAGTTGTTCAAGAACAAAGTTATTCTCCTTTTCATCTCGAATACTCAACATGTGTGATTGTGAATCTGTTAAATAATAAAGTTGATAATTTTAATAATTAATTATCCAGAACATTTTGTTTTGTTTGACAAATTTAGAAAGTTTTATTCCCCAATTTAATATTCTTCAAAACATATGCAATATTGAAAAATTAGAAAGACACAAAACTGAAGCTATCTCATTATACTAAAATGAATAAATTAAATATTCAAACATTTAAATATTAAATGTGGTCCTACAGTGTAGTGGAAAACTAGTATCCAAGTAAAGAATTTTAGACATTGATTCATTTAACTTTCCTTATTTAGAGCTCATCATCCAGGTGGCACAAATCCACCTACATTAATGACATATTATCAAGAGATTACTCTGTAATAAAAAAAAGCCTTTGGCTAGGCATGGTAGTGCACATCTATAATCCCAGCAGCTGGGGAGGCTGGAAGGATCACAAGTTCAAAGCCAGCCTCAGCAATGGCAAGGCACTAAGCAATTCAGTGGGACCCTGTCTCTAAATAAAATACAAAATAGAACTGGGGATGTGGCTCGGGTGGTTGAGTGCCCCTGAGTTCAATCCTTGGTACCAAAAAAAAAAAAAAAGAAAAAAGAAAAAAAAAGCCTCTGAAATGGTCTGTAAAACAACTTCCTATTAGGGTTAAAAAAAAAAGTCTAGTTTTTTTAATCTTTTTTTTTTTTTTTTTTAGTTGTAGTTGGACATAATACCTTTATTTTATTTGTTTATTTTTATGTGGTTCTGAGGATCGAACCCAGCGCCTCACACGTGCTAGGCAAGCGCTCTACCGCTGAGCCACAACCCCAGCCCCAAAGTCTAGTATTTCTAAAATGTATTTCAGGAAATTAGCAAGGGGTCATCTCAGACAAGATCTACATGGATAAAATATTTGCAAACAGTGGTTTAAACAGAGATAAACTAGTTCATTTATGCCAGTATTAAAATAGGCTCATGACTTGGAAAATGTCAAACAAGAGGTTTTGAAGTCTAGTGTTTATCTATCTGTTTTGCAGGACATCTCTCAARACTAATGTTACATAGAGAACACTTTGGGGAATAATGGTACTTCCCACAAAGTTCACAGTTCCAAAAGTTCTGTTGTATAGAAGTCATAAATCTTCAATGGATTTCATAAGAAGTATCTCAAGTCTTGAGAGCTAAAAGTGTAAAATGTACATTTCTTTTAAGCCTGGCTGTTACTCAGTGCTATTTCTAAGCTTTTGATCACTTGAACTAACCTTTTTTTCACTTTTCCCTTTGTCTAGCTTGTTTGACATCCAGTTCTCTGCTCTCTAGTATCATTTCTTTTCCTTAAGATGAACCCATCTTGTTCACACATACAAAGACAGACTAGTTCTCAAATGGATGAACAAAGAAATTAATTTAATACTTGTCATTTGAACCATACACAAAATTTTATACATTGTCATTCATAATGTGGAAATAAGGAGATAAATATTTTTTAAATCAAATTACTAGTGCTAATTAGAAATATTTATAACAGTTTTTTTTAAAATTAGTATGATACAAAATATAATAACAGTATAATATACTTACTCAGTTTCTGGCACTTAGAATGAACTTCATCTTGTGTTGTTGCCATATGTCTATTCTTTGTTATCATAAAATTATAGCAAGAGTTCTGAAATGATATCCACGGAGTATTTAGAACAGGAGATGGACATTTAACACTTTTGACTTGTTTGACCTCTTTTTCAGTGTCATCTAGAAAAAACAGTAAATGATAAGAATTCTAATTTTAGATGTAAATGTTAAACCCTGTTCATAGTCATTAGAASTAATTTGTAAGAAATATTTAGGAAGTCAAGTAGTAATAGCCTGGTGATGCTTGTTTTTCTGTTTATATTCAAATATTATGTATTGAAACTGTCTTTCTGTAGGGAAGAAATTTTCTTTCCCCTATTGTGAAATAGAAGAATGTAAAAAATTAGGTGTTTTTAGATTAAATGCAGTTTCTGTCTTCCTGCATTATGAAATATCAAGCACAAGGGGCCACCTCAGAGAAACTATACAAAACTACTAATTAACAAGCACTTCACTATAACTTTAAAAATTCATTTTCATTACTGACATCTCTAATTTAATTAATTATTATTTATTTATTTTTGGTACCAGGGATTAAATCCAGAGACATTCAAGCACTGAGTCACATCCCTAGCCCTTTTTATTTTTTTTATTTTGAGACAGGGTCTTGCTAAATTGCTGAGGCTGACCTTGAATTTGTGAGCTTCCTGCCTTGGCCTCCAGAGCCACTGGGATTACAGGCATGTGCCACGGTGCCTGGCTATAGGAACAGTTTAATGAAATAGTTGATGTTCTAACTAAGTTATTACTTTAACCAAATCAAACAGAAATATAATTTAAAATATGGCCTCTAGGGCTGGGGATGTGGCTCAAGCGGTAGCGCGCTCGTCTGGCATGCGTGCGGCCCGGGTTCGATCCTCTGCACCACATACCAACAAAGATGTTGTGTCCGCCGAGAACTAAAAAATAAATATTAAAAATTCTCTCTCTCTCTCTTTCCTCTCTCACTCTCTCTTTAAAAAAAATATGGCCTCTAGAGAGTCTGCTTTTTTGTTCATTTTATGAAAGGCTGTGCACTTAAGAAGATGTAAATATAGATACGCTCTACTCACAATAAATCAAATTAGCTTAATATGTAGTATAGGCCATTCAGTATCTTCCCCACCTCACAATAAATTCTTTTGTCTCTAAAATAGCATGTTCTTTCTATCACAAACCCACAAATGTAGGCCCCTGACAGTCATAAAATCATTTTCCTCTAATTGGTCTAGAGGTTGTATATCTGACTCAGGCTAAATCCATCAGAGTCTAAGAATACAAAAAGTGAAATTCTGAAACATTAACTCATCTTCACTTACATCTATTAAGTAAAAGTTGAAGAGACACCAAACACCACTATATGCAGAGACAAGTAAAAAGTATATAAAGAACAGAGTGCAGATACACAGGAAAAAACAGATGGAAGGGAACATCTCTGGATTCCTGATCTCCATCCCCTAGGAGGCTCAGCTCTTTCCCTATTTCTAGGGTTCTAATTTCCCTTTTGCTTTAAGCTATCTTGAGCTTGTCATTGCTACTTGCAATCAACTGAATCTTAACAGTGGATCATAAAAGTTTGTTAGTTGTTGATGTTAAGAATTATGAAAGAATTCCAACAAAAGTAGATTTTCTAAAACAACATGAATTCAAAATATATGCAAAATGAGGCTAAAAATGGGACTTTACATGTCAATAAAGTGTTAACTGATATAAAAATGAAGATAAAAATGTCAAATAAAAACGCGTGATTTTAAAATAATTCTACTTCAATACAAATGCTTGTAACAAAATTTGTTATAAAAAGGACATTATAATTTCTTTATAATTCCAACATCAAATTTTATAAAGCCACTCAAAATTTTACTATTGATAAGACCAATAATTTAAGCATTAAAATATTTGAAATCCACATACTTCCTGGGTAGTAGCAAATAGCACCTGGTTGCTTATCATTGCAATCAGCCGTTTTCCAGAATCCATCAGTGTCTAATATTACACAGTCTTCAAGTTGCCTGTTGTTGTCTGCCCAGCGACTAAAGTGAAGAGGTTTCCCATCCGACCAACCAAAGTTTAGCTCATCCTAAAAGGAGCAGAAATACATTTCAAATAATAAAACTCATGTTATCCCTTTTGTATTATTTTTACCCTCTACTTTTAAAGGAACATTTTAATGAAAGGAACAGAGATACATGTCACATAACACTTAGTATGTCCCAGGCACTTTTCTAAGTGTTTTAAAAATATCAACTTTCTTAACCCTCATAACAATCATGAAAGAGGTACTATTATTACCTCTATTTTACAGATGAGGGGAACTGAGAGTATGTAATGTGTGCAAAGTCATAGTGCTGGGATTCTAATCCAGGCTGCCAGTCCTTAAAATCTATGGTTCTCACCCTGACACTCTGCTGCCTCACATATCATCGGAACTATTGGTTGTTGGAAACCGGAAAGTTAAAATGGAGTGAGAACTGCTGTAAGCAAGGATGAAAAGGTGCAGTGGGAAGAATGGCTTTGGAGCTAAGCATATCTGGTTTTGAATTCAGTTTGGTTATACTTACTAACTTTTGATTTGTGAGCCTATCTCTCCAAATTTCCATCTTCTCATCTATTAAATAGTATGACAGTTTCATGGGGCTAGAATTAATGGGATAATTAATTTCGGTTAGGTATAGAATATGTAACCCAATGATTAGCTGGACCACATAAATATTAGTTCCTTTTCTCTCTCTTTTAAAAAAAAATTTTTTCTTGGGCTGGGGATGTGGCTCAAGCGGTAGTGCGCTCGCCTGGCATGTGTGCGGCCCGGGTTCGATCCTCAGCGCCACATACAAGCAAAGATGTTGTGTCCACAGAAAACTAGAAAATGAATATTAAAAATTCTCTCTCTCTTTAAAGAAAAAAATTTCTTAGTTGTCAATGGTCCTTTATTTTATTTATTTACATGCAATGCTGAGAATCGAACCCAGTGCCTTACACATGCTAGGCAAGCGTACTACCACTGAGCAACAACTCCAGTCCAGTTCCTTTTCTCTTAACTCCTTAGGCCTTTTAAATTTCTCACTATTGTTTGACACTGTTTTTAAGGCAGTTTCCTCCTTTATCTAGTCTGGGGTGGATAAGAAGCCTGGGGACACCTGTCTGTACATCCTGACAGGGACCTGATCACCCACCTATCTTGAGAAAGGATTTACAGAGTAGAAGTCCAGGGCATGGGTTGTGGGGTGCAGGACCGTCTGAGTTTCCCCATGGTGCCACTAGGGCACTGGGCCTTATCTAACCAATGCTGATCTGGTCCAACACTGAATCAAGCTTTCCTGAGCCCATATGCCTTGCTAGACATAGGCTCCTTAGTGAACCATAAACAGCAAACACAGTCAATCCTTAGCACCACCAGCTGCTTCGTTCTGAACTATTCTTGACTAGAGGTCCAATTGTAACCATAGCAACCAATTCCTAAGCCCCCAAGGCCTCAATGTGGCCTTTGGRGTGTGATTTTGCTACACTCTTACCCACACTGCCTTGCCCTCTTTCCCCTGTGCTGTACCTCCCTCAGTTCCTGGCCCTAGGCTTTGGAACCTCCATTCCTTCCTAGTAAATCATCCCATTCTCAGTCTCCTTACTGAAAATAAGATCTCTTAATTAAAGTGATAAATATTTTCTTACTGAATTCTTGGCCTTAATTGATCTTAATCCAAACCTGGCTTTTCCAAGGGAATAACCTTTCAACACCCACAAGGGAAGGCTGTTTGTTCTTCCATTCTTAGAAATGGAAGGGCCATGAGAAAGGGGTAGTAGGTATTTTTACCTCCTTTGATCACTTCCTATAAGGGTTATGCTCTTCTCATTCACTGAAAACTCCCAATATTCTTGCCTCTGGCTGACATTCTCTGTAGATGTGGATCCCAGTTCCTTCCTGACGTTCCCTAAGATGGCCTGTGTCTTGCTCTGTTCTTCTGGCCCAGCTAACAACTTAGGGATGTTGTAACCCAGAACGGCTACACTTCTAACACTGTAAATAAGCCTTGGTCAGAGGAACACCATATCCTGTATGAATTCATAGGAAAATAGTTATTCTTCCCATCTTCATACTGCTCACTCCCTCCTCCACCCTTCACCCAGTGTCATTTTACTTCAGTAAATAGTCTTCCAATATCTTTCCATTGCTCTCAAACTAAAGTATTATTTATTAATATCCTAAGAAATACTCTTTAAGATTTAGGGAAGGTTATGAAGATATATAATATACAAGCTACACAGGATATGTTAAAATCAAGGGGAAATTAAGGAAAAACATATATTCATCAAATTTACTGGAGTCAGATTTAAAAATCTCTGGGTTTTTTTTTTTCAGTCTACAAGAAATGCAATGCACAATAAAAATGTCACATCTGTCATCCAATCCTTGCGGTTGGAACTGAAAACTTACGTCTTGACTGAAGAGTCCAATCCAGAAGGAAGAGTTCCAAAGGACTGCCTGCACAGCGAGGAATGCCTGTTGGTAGGCATCGGTGATGCTCACCAGGTGCATGTTCTCCCTCAGGCACTCCTTTTGGGCGTCGAGCCACGTCAGTGTCTTTGGGATTATTTTGTACAGGTTATTAAGATACTTTACAGTTTTTGAGGTGTTCTGCAAGGGCTGTCTGTCTTCAGTGTCTGTAAAAGAAAACAATAATAACAACCATCCCACACATGCACTGCAAGACATGGGACAAGTTTTCAAATGTTTCCCTGACTAATCTGCTTTAGGTATTTCTTAACTATTTGCTTGTTTTAAATTTTGGGGTAAGAGAATTAGGTATGTTTTGCTATGTACCTTAGGCAAAATGTCTGACCTGCAACATTTGGTTTCTAAAATCAGAACGAGATTTTGTTTAGTTGTTCTAAAAGTAGTCGGCAATAAGATTACCATTTTAGTTTGGTGCCAAATACTTCCTTTGTCTGAACTGCTTCACCAGGTAAGGTATTAAAAGTGTCCCCTTACAAAGTCCCCTTACAAAGTACCCTGAAACAATGCACAAAGCCACTTACAAGAGGAGATATTTGAATTCCTGCTTTATAGTATTTATCTGAATAAGGCAGTGACTAAAAAGCGTGGGACAAATGGGTAAAGATCAATTTAGAAAAAAAAACTGCCGAAGTACAAGAAATATACTTAAGGTTCTCATTGTGTAACAATTTTTTTTGTTGTTGTTGTTCTTAAGTACTTGTTAAAAACTCTCTATGGTCAATGAAAAGCAATGTAATATCTTTTTCAAATTATGGATAATTTCTGTTTTTAAGTACCCATTTTATTTGTGTTTGGGTTATGAAGTCATAGCGATCCATTTATAGTGCTTTGTAACTTTAAAATTGGTGCTGAATTTAACAGTGAATATTTATACAGTACTGAATTACATTTAAAATATTGTTTTTTCTTCTCCTTTCCTCAAGATGAAAGCTAAAATTTGAATATACCAGAGTAGAAAGAACACAATTCACCCATAACTTACACTCAGTAGGCAACTACTATTAAAAAATTCCATATTATATTTAATTTTTATATTTTATTAAGTATGGGAATGCCACTTGAAAAAAATCACATTCCATTTGAGATAATCTGCCACAATGAGGCAATATAATTTACCCATGATTATAAATTCATATGAATTCATTTATAAGATTTTTGTAAAAAAGAACCATATATTTCTAACAGCATAAAGTGCCTTAGTTATCTAGATAACAATTGATACCTGAATATTTCTGACAGAGAGATACAAAGTAGTATTCGCTGCAGGCAGTAAAATTCCACGACCCAGTGAAAGGTGACTTTGGGAGGTTGAGTATCACAGCACAGTGGTAGTGGGACTCTTCATCAAAGAACTGAACAAAAAGGCAAATATGGACATCAGATTATTAAACTAACAGTCTGAAGATCCCAGCAAGAAAATTCTGGATTCCAAATTGTTTTTGTCCCCCTGTAAAAATATCCCATCAAGGAACTTACTATGAAATTTCTATGAAAACCCTGATTAAACTTTCAAAGTCTAAGAAAAAGAACAATTAATTTGAGAAAAAACAAAATAGTGGCAATATGGTAAGTATATCTTCCAACAGATAAAGAAAAATTATTAGATATAAAATAAAAATAGCTACAATAATACTTAACATTCTCTCAGTCTTAATAGTTCAAATAGGCAAAAACATGATTAATTAAATTTATTCAATGTTTCTGAACTTTTTGTAATGATGAAATCTATACTTCATAATAGAGAATTCACCTTTAAGTTTGGGTCCAATATGAGTCACTGCAAAAATTTCCATATATTAAGATAAAAGTTTACCTAGATTTCATTCTATAATTAACAATTTGAGACATAAAAATTATGCAAAGTATATTGTTCCTATATTTTTTATATATTTGAAACATCACACTTACAAAAATTTTTAAAAGTAACCTTATACCAGGAGCAAGAAATTCTAAARAAAAATGCTACTCCATAAATATTAAACCAAAATTGAAATAAAATAATTATAATAAAGAATAAAATTTTTAAAAATCCGAAAATGGAATATGGGCTGAACTTTTTGTGGAGGCAAATGTGTATTATTAAATGATTTCTCTTTTTTTTTTAAAGGAAAAGCAGACTAAAAATTCAATATAAAAAACTAGAAACTGAACAAAAAAGTAACTCCAGGAAAAGCAGGACAGGAAAATGTGGAAGTAGCATGAATAAACATGGATTGAGCAATAGGCATAAAAAGTGAAAAAGAGAGTAGAGAAAACTAATAACATGCACCTATTTTTCTAAAACCTAAATAAGAAAAAGTAATAATGTTTAAACATTAAAATGCTTATCAAGTAGTTTTCTTTCTTTCTTTCTTTCTTTTTTTTTTTTTGTGTTGTGTACCACGGATTAAACTCAGGGGTACTCAACCACTGAGTCACATTTCCAGCCTTATTTTGTATTTTATTTAGAGAAAGGGTCTCACTGAGTTGTTTAGCACCTCATTGTTGCTGAAGCTGGCTTGGAACTTGAGATCCTCCTATCTCAGCCTCCTGAGCTGCTGTTTTTGGGGTTTCTTTTGGTGCTGGAGATCAAACCCTGGGTCTTGCACATTCATTGGTAATGCTCACCACTGAACTGTATTCCCAGCCCTCAAGTTGATCTCTTAATAGCACCTATAATTACTTATTATATAATACTATATGAGGAAAGTTGAGCTCATTAGTATTTATACTGTGATCTCATCTGTGCCAGGGAACCAATATGTAGAAACGATACTGAAATATATATTGTGGTTCTCTAAATCAGGGCTCAAATACGGTAAGTCATTAAGTAGGTCATGAAATCAATTCAGTGGATTTTGGCTGGCCTTTGTGATAATAAAACAGAACAGGATAGGATAGGATAAGAAAGAAGAGTGGAATGAAATGGACTAGAAGATAATAGAAGGAAAATATCAGGATGTACAATCTCTCAGGGTGGGTATTATTTCTTGAAACTTGTGTTTTCATTCAGTACTATATCTACATCTATGTACTGGATACTGATTTAAATATATTTAAATATATTAAATATATTTCTTAACATGGATTATGGTTGAAAGTTTAAAAACATAAAAACAAAGTTTAAATTTAAGTGGAATCAGGGTTGACTCTGTGTGTGTGTGCGTGCGTGTGTGGGTGTGTGGTGTGTGTGTGTGTGTGTGTGTTTGCCCTTGTGTAACTTCCACGTTTTCTATTATAACCAAGTCTTATTTTGATATTTACTTTGTACACTGTTAGACAAAATTCAGAATTCCCTTTGCTATCAACATCAACCTTAAACAAAGCAGCACTGTGTTAGGAAAGTCAATTGATTATTATCCAGGATATATTTTTGAAACTGGACATTCATATTAGGTTCTCAATCTTTGCCCTTTGTGAGAACAAACATGGTCTTGACTCAGCCTGTAGGAAGAACAGAAGCAATGGGCAGCAATATCCTGTTGGTGTAACTACTGTCAACACATTGCCCTCTCTCCTTCCCTTGTTTCCTATGAAAGAGAATGTCAACCAGAAAGTAAGAATATGGCTTCTATACATGCAGCTCTTCACAAAAAAATGATCACCAAATACATCTTTTTCTCTCAGGAAGCTGAGGTTGAGAGTCCACATCCCCTAAGTGTTAAGTAAAATATACATATTTACATCTATTTACAACAGACTCCTGACAAGTTTACATGCTTGTTAATTAAGTACTATGGCATCTGATGCTCTTGTGAAAAACTAGGTTATCCACCTGAAGGCTGGAGTTATGAGATGCTTGTTGTTGTTCTCTTAAGGGCTTTGTTGGGCTATAATTCATACAGGATACAACTCACCCATTTAAAGTGTACACCTAATTGTTTTCAATGTATCCACAGAGTAGTACAACCACCCTGAAATCAATTTTAGAACATTTTTACCACTCTAAAAAGAAGCCCCATACTCTATGGCCCACCACCTCTTCCATCCTTCTTAGCCTCTAGCAACCACTCAGTTAGTTTCTACCTTTATCAATTTGCCTATTCCAYAGGTATAATATAAATGGAAACATACAATAGGTCCTTGTTCTTTTGTGTATGTGCATATTACTGGGAAGTGAACCCAGGAATGCTTTACCACTAAGCTACATCCTCAGTCCTTTTTTCATTTTTGAGATAGGGTTTTGCTAAGTTGCTAAGGGTCTTGCTAACTTGTTGAGGCTGACCTAGAGTTTGCCATCCTTCTTTCTCAGGCCCCTAAATTGCTGAGATTACAGCRTGCACTACTATGCCCATCTAGGTCCTTTTTTTTTTTTTTTTTTTTAAAGAGAGAGAGAGAGAAAAAGAATTTTTCAATATTTATTTTTTAGTTATTGGCGGACACAACATCTTTGTTTTGTATGTGGTGCTGAGGATTGAACCTGGGCCGCACGCATGCCAGACGAGCACGCTACCGCTTGAGCCACATCCCCAACCCCTTGGTCCTTGTTTTTAATCCAATAATTTATGAGAGACTCAGGTATTTCACAAAATTGTATACATCATCAATTCAAAAAATCTTACATTTGTTGGTATACTCAGCATTCGACCAACCAGCAATGGGTGGAAGTTGCTATATGTCAGTTCTCTATCATCTGTCCATTTGTTTATCCTTTCATAGGCAGTCCAGCGCAGACCAATCCATAAACTACCTTCCATATCCGGAAGCAATGATGTAATAAAATCTGTTAGAAAGAAATTTTTTTTAAAAAAGCATTTGATTTATTGAAATTAAAGATAGACCTGTGCTAAAAATATCAATGAATACCTTTTGTTTAACTATCAAGATAATCTTTTATCTGCTCTATAAAATGTACTTTAATTAAAACAAATTTTTTTGGGGGGGTTCAAGGGATGGAACCCTGGGATGCTTGACAACTGAGTCATGTCCCCAGCCTTTTTAGTTTTTATTTTAAGGCAGGGCCTTGCTAAAATGTTGAGGCTGGCTTTGAACTTATGATCCTCCTGCCTTAGCCTCCCAAGTCACTGGGATTACAGTGACTATTTTTATATATTAATTAAGATTATTTTTATATATTAATTTCCTACAATCTCTTAAAACTTACTTTATTCCCGGATTAGAATAAAATATATTTCTCAAAAAAAAATTGCTGGTACCTTGTTCACTCTGGCTCAACACTGAAGGAAGGGTGCCACCATAGGAGTGACAGATATCTCTTGCTTCGGAAAATTTAACAGACTTGGGTTTGATCTTTAGAAAGCACTGCAAACAAAGACACATATGAAGCATAAGATTAAAGACACAAGAAATCTCACATAGTAAGTAAATGCCTCTCTTTTAGAGGGCTGCTGACATTCCGTCTGTGAAATATGTAAATTTGCAAAGTAGTACCATAAGGATTCAGGTTCATACTTTCAAAATAAAGAACTAAAGAATGGTCTCCAACCTATCACATTAAAAAAAAAATCTCAAAGGGGGAGATATTGGGTTCCAGTTAACTTCTTAGTCACATCACTCAGTAACTCTGTGCCTTTGAACAAGTCACTTATTCTCTTTTGGTTACCTCATTTGTAAACCATTATGTAGGGTTGTTGTGACTTATAAAGTACTTGATGTTGACTAAATTATATTGTTATATTGTGTGAATGTACCGATACATAAAAATGAATCTCACCATTACATATAATTATAATACGCTAACAAAAATATGGAAAAAAGAAAATAAATCTTTCATTTCTTGAATGTTTCCTAYGTGCTAAGCAGTTTTTGTAGTTTTGTCCATTTAATTCTTACAACAAATGGGAAAACTGAAGCACAGGAAAGTTAAGTAACTTAACACATAAGTGAAATAGCTACCAAGTGGTAAGGTTAGCATTTAGATTCTGTTCTGATTTTAAAGTCATTACTTCCCTATATCAAGAAACACATTTGAAAAGAAAGCATCTCTTTTTCTCTTGGCAGGATATTTTAATTCAATTTTATATCAACTATGCAAATTAACCTGGTTCTAGTATGTTGGAGAATTAAACAAATTGTCCTAATTTTTAGCAGTCAGAATACACTGCTACCCTTACTAAAGATGCTTTCAGGTGTCAAATATTTTTTCTTTTTGACATTATGATCACTGGGTGTGAGTGTTGTGCCCCAAATTGTGCTCCTTGCAACAACATCCTACAAAAAAATTATTTTTCAGCTTTCTTATAGACTGGAGTAGCCAATAAAATATAGGCAAAGTCACCCAGTCACTTCTAGAAAAGACCCTAGAGAGAAAATTTGAACTTAAACATGAAAGCTTATAGTAAGGATGGCAGAGCAGACACAAAGAAGCCTGAATTTGAAGACTTTAGGAGTTTCCACACCAACCCAGCTGGTTTACCTTTAAACATCTTTTATATGAGAAAATAAATGTTTTAACATACTGTTGCAATTTCTTTTTAGTAGCCAAACACATTTCCTAACACATATGTATACCAAAATGTATTATGCATCTCAAAGAGGCAGATATAGAATGCAGCATTTCCCAAACCTTTTTAATCATAAAATTCCCATTTGGAGGCAAAATCAATGATTAATATTTTGTAGCATATGTGTAGTCTCTGAAGAGTAGTTTGGGAAATGCTGATCTTATTTGATTGTCAGATGCTGCCTGGATGCTCTCCTTGAGGGGGAAAAGAAAACAGCAGCCAGAAATTAAGTCAGTTTCTTATGTGCCATWGAGATAGTCCTGACTAGTCAATGTATTACTAACCATTGACAGATCCACTTTAGCAATTTAAGTGTTGGTAGCATCAGAATAGAAATGCTGCATTTTGAAATACCTGCATGCATGACTAACTTGAGAGTTAACTCTTGATGTCACCCATGGTTTCTGGCAACAGAAAGGATCAGGCAGGATACTGATGCATGCAGAAACGCTTAGTGAAGATGTCTGATGGGTTGGCCTTCCACCATAGGCCATAAACCAGCATGAAAGCAATCACTGTCTGTACAGTGTAGCAATTCTCTTTTTACCTTATTCTGAAAAGGAATCCAATCCCCAGAACACTGAACTTTAGCAGCAGAATCTGGACTATATTTCTCTAATGAAGATACATTGTATTTTTCACAGATGAAAGGCAATTTGGTTGTGCAGTCTGTTGGTTTATTTAAGTCTGAGAAATAAAAAGCAAGATTGCAATGGTGAAAATTTTTCATTCAGCACATTTTAAAAACAAACGTAGTAAACAAAGGCTCTTTTAAATTTTATTTTGTGTTTTTGGTGCTGGGGATTGAACCTGTTCTAACACAGACTGAGTTAAATCCCTAGCTGCAAGAAAGGCTCTTTAAATCAGTCTTTCTCAAATGGTTAAAATATATTCCCTTTCTTCCCCAGCCTTCCATTATCATCCTTCCATTATTATCTGTCTTCCATTATTATTTATATTAGTAGGTTCTAACACACCAATATTGCCAGTAAAGAAAAGAACACAATTGGTGTAACTACCACYCCCTTCAAAGAATGATGGCAAGAAACAGGAGGAATTGAAAGGGAAGTTTAATTAGGAGTAAGGCTTATAAACCATATTTTACAACTACTGTCTCTTCACCTTTGTAAGTGTGTCTAAATGCTTATCATTTATGAAAGTGGTAAGTTTATTCATAAGTAAATACTTTAGGATAAAGGAAGTTAGATTATTCACAGTGAAAAGTACCTTTTTGGATTTGGAATTTGGGCAATTGTCATTAACAATATATCAGAATAAGATGAAGCTATCAGATACATAATTGAAATGAAAACAAGATTAAGCCAGCAACTGATCCTGAAGTTCACATATGACATGATCAGCATTAAGGTTTGGACTTAACTTACCCATAAACCAAGTTTTGGCAGACATGTGCAAGCATTCCTCCCCAAATCTCATAGGAAAGTGGTGCCAGGGATGTCGTGAGCTGAAAATAAATAAGAGATTCAACAACTCATAAGGTAATTAGATATTCCATTCTGGCTTTTTACTCTAAGTTATTTTAATTCTAAATTTAATATTAATGCCATTATTTTATACCACTTTTTTCTTGACATTAATATGAGAAGGGACTTGGCTTCTTTAATCTAGGCCATTTATGGATTAATATTCAAAACTACTTATAAATAGCAGTCCATTAGTCAAGGGCAATCTGGGACGGCAATAAGTGATAAATTCACAAAGGCAGAATCAATGTCACGTACTATATAAAATGACGATCTAGTGGCTGATCACTAGTTCTCACCCACCACTTCTGTTCATCACTTGATATCTGCAAAAAAAAAAAAAAAATAACCACAAACACCTATCCTTAGAGATGCTGAATTTAAGGAAAGTTTTGCTTTAAATATTAATCACAAATAACTTCAATTTCTAGACATTCCATTATTTGGTCTCAAAATGACATGAATCATGACTTTTCACCAAAAAGTAATTTGACAGCCCCTATTTTATATATTCACAGAACCTATTTGGGGTCTAGAAAATAGAGTTGCTGTAATTAGAAGCATACATTAATTGGACTAATACATTAATTGGGCATACAGTGTCTTATTGCAATTAATGATAAATTTTAAAATATATAAATTATTTCTCTCCCTAAAAGTTATTTTATAACTTTATTAATAAGTAGAAACAGAAATTTTAGTATAAGTTAACTTCTAATAAAGTAATGAATTAGGATAATTTATATTATCTACCAATGCTCATCTCATAAACTGATATTTATTATAAATCATGCATATTTTAAAACATTAAGCAATCTCACTTAACTTTTCAAACACTGAACAATTAAGATGGATGTTGTGAGGCAAATTTACTTTAGAGGAACATTTAACTTTTGTAGATTTTGGAAGTATTTTTAATGGAATAAATATAATAAGAAATATATTTAAAATGCATTGTTTTAAATTACATTTGCTATTTTGTTTTTGATGGCTTTTAGTCCTGTAAAAGACGTTATAGTAGCAAGAAAGCTGTGATTGCTAGCACAGTACAGGACGGCTTCTTCGTAGTTCAAGTGAGGATCAGCAACAAACCAATATTCACTTCCTTCAATTATAACTGGAGGCCCATGAATTCCAGCACGCTCTAAATAAGAAGATCAGAGTTAGGACCACGCCAACCAAACTGTACCCTGTAAGTATGGGTAACGGTTAAAACTTTACAAATAGTAACTGTTTTGGTTTGGATGTGTCTCCCACAGGCCCATGTATTAAAGGCTTGGTTCCTAGTCCATGATGCTCTTGGGAGGGGTGGAACCTTTTCAGAGGTGGTGCTCAGTTGGAAGTCTTCTGGTCATATGGAGGTGTGCCCTTGGAAGAGATATTAGTACTCTGGAGCCTCCTTTTTCTGTTTTTCCCTTCTCAGCCACCAGGAGTAAGCAGTATGCTCCACCAAGGGCTCTCTGCTATGAAGTGCTATCTTGCCACAGGCCCCAAAGCAACAAGGTTGACAGAATATCATCTAAAACCTCCAAAGTTGTGAGCCTAAACTTTCCTCTTTTCGAGTTAATCAGATCAAGTATTTTATTACAGTAAGGGAAAGCGGATTAACACAATAACCCATCTAGATTACTGGCTCTCTCTGACTGTGGAAGTGCTAACTGCAAGGAATTAAGGATTCCTGAGCCAGTGACTCTGCCACTTTTCTGTATTCACAGAGAAGAAAAATCTAGCCTCATGGACTCATTCCACACCATCCACCCACTTTCCTTGCCTGGAGACAATTTTATTTCTCTTGAAGACATGATAGAGAAGAAACTGGCACTTAAATAATTAATGATATACATTGTCAAAAGGATAAAAGCAGCTTTTGCTAAATTTCAGTTTTCTTAACTCACCTGGATTATACCAGTCTGGTGTTTTTGGAGTGCTGCCTGTATAAAGAAGAAAGCAAGTGGCTTGAGTTTAGTATCTGATCACAGATCAGCTTACTGTAAGTAGGGCCTTTTAATGTTAATTACACTGTTATGAAGGTTTATTCATTTCTGAGCAAATCATTTGATTTCAAGTTATGTCATTTAGTTGAATTTTGTAGGGCTTGTACTAAAGCTTCTTCAGTGGCAAAAGATAGACTTGCTAAATATTAATAAAGTATTCCAAGCAGTCTAGGGCTGGGGATGTAGCTCAATGGTAGAGTACTTGCCTAGAACAAACAAGGCCCTGAATTGGATCCCCAGCATTGAGGGAAAAATATATTTAAAAAAATATATAAATGCATATGGATAATAAAATATACAAATCCATATATATAAAATATATCATACACACAATACATATGTATGCATTACTAGCAGTTTTTTGCTTTGTATTGGAAGTCAAAAGGAAGACATGAACAAAACATAGCTAATAATTAGAAAGTTAAAAATAAGTAAATGATGATGTTGTATAATTTACACAGAAGCACTAAGGCGTTTGCATCAAGGTAATCACCCTGTAGGATGAGGCTATTCAGGAACTACTTCTCTATCTAATGGAATTTGAGTTAACTGCACTGTACACTTAGGGGGTTAGAGGTTACTGACTCATGAGATGCGGTTGGACAAAGTGTCCAATATTGAACCTTTTGAGAAAGTGAAACAAAACTGGGAGGAAAACAATAAAAGTCAATGCAGATTCCTGAATGGAAATGGGAAATATGATATGCTACACAGAATCATGGGCTTCACAGTGGTGTGCGGGCCCTCACACACTATGGCTGAGGTGCTTCACTAACTCCCTGAGCCTTCATTATCTACTTTATAAAAATGAGTCTACTCACAAAGCACTTGAAGACCTTGCTATCACCCCTAAAGTGGTACCCACACAGTCCCATGCACAGAGCAGTCTTCACAGGATTCTAGTTGCTTCCTTCCCCCTAGTCATACTGGCTACAGGTCACAGTGGTTTCAACTCTAAAACATAATTCACTTTATTTAATTACAGGGTAAAACAGCTGTTCTTAATATTGCTGTTGTATCGAGGCTTAAGTCATCAGATGACCCTCCTGAGAGAGGACAGTCTGCACATGCAGCATCCTTGGGTTTTCTAAGTTCTCTTCAGATTGGGTAGTTTTCATCAATAGAAATGCAAATTGATTAAAAAATAAACACAGTTTCTTGTCTATGATATTCTCAAAGTCTTTTTTTATATGAGACTATGAATACATATGTGTATATAAGGTAGCAAGAAGTATACCTGCTGTATTTGATAGTGATAATTTCCCTAAAAACATTTTTATGAATTTTATTTTTGGTATTTTCCTCAATTAAAAAAAGAATATTTTAAAAGAATACCTAGTAATTATAGCTAATTAAAATTCACAGGTTCATATCCCTTTTAGAGAAGAGGGGACTACTTAGAACCAGGTAATAAAAAGGCAAGAAGAGAAAAGGCATGGTGATTTAGGCCAATAAGAGGAAAATTTCTTTTAAGAAAACCAAAAATGCCAATTAATGTAAGTTGAGTAGATTTCGGCTGCTGTGGTAAACAAGAAAAATATCCAATCAGATGAATGCAATACCTTTTAACTTAGAAAGTAGGTACTGTCAAAGGGGAGTTAACATAACATTTAAATCTTGGATTGAGCAATCATTGATTGTTTTAAATGACTGGTAGTTGATTCGAATGATATTTAGTTATTTAGCATTTTATTTTGTTTCTGCATGGGGGAAGAAAGGGTGTTATTATTTAGATTTGTTTGGTTGACGTTAGATTTGCCAAGACAGTCAGTTCCCTTTAAACCAGCACATGCTCTATCATAACATTTCCTGACATTACAGTTCTGTCATTTCTAAGTTGCCCTGGTTTCCACTCTTGGTCTGCATCTCCACCCAAACAGGAGGTGGGGGTAGCCGCTACCAGTGCAGGTGCCTTGGAGTGAGCAAGGACACTCTGTAGCAGGCTGCTAAATGCTACAAATGGGAGGCTCACCAGAATGCTTCAAACCAGAGACATTGTGCATATTGGCTGTATATATGAGTTACTTTTCCACTTCCTTAAAGACCTTCCAATGGGCTGGGGATGTGGCTCAAGTGGTAGCGCGCTCGCCTGGCATGCGTGCGGCCCTGGTTTGATCCTCAGCACCACATACAACAAACAAAGATGTTGTGTCCGCTGAAAACTAAAAAATATATATTAAAAATTCTCTCTCTCTTTAAAAAAAAAAAGAAAGAAAGGACCTACTATTAAAAAAAAAAAAAAAAAAAGACCTTCCAAACTGGTTTTCCTTTGCTCCTTTTTGAAGTTTAATCAAACAATCAGGAATAACAGGGCATAGTCCTCCCCACCACCCCAGGACAACCACATCAACACACATTCATAAGCACAGAAGCACTCTTACTAGTGCCTGACAGTCCTCTTTCATGAAATAGACTTGCCAGTTACTGTGCCTGAGGTCATATGTGGTGGTCCTTTTTAGGAAAATGGGCAAAACAATGACTCAATCTTTGGGGTTCTTTGAGAATCTGTAGGAGGATATACCTTTAGTTGAAACTSTTACATTCAGTTCAGAAATTCACTTTAGAACTTCCTTTGTATTTTCCATTGTGTTTACAATGTGTGCTTAAAAATAACTGGAGGGTCTGGGGATATAGCTCAGTTAGTAGAGTGCTTGCCTCACAGGCACTAAGGCCCTGGGTTCAATCCCCAGCACTACCAATGAAAAAAAAAAGGGGGGGGAGTAAAGTCTTCTCATCATTCTAAATAATAATTTCCTAACATTTTCCTTGTAAAATACTAAATTAAAAAAATCTATTTTTCTCTCTTTGTCATCAAAGGCTCTGCTATAAATCTAAGTTCCTGGGGCTGGGGATGTGGCTCAAGCGGTAGTGCGCTCGCCTGGCATGCGTGCGGCCCAGGTTCAATCCTCAGCACCACATACAAACAAAGATGTTGTGTCCGCCAATAACTAAAAAATAAATAAATATTTAAAAATAAATAAATATTGCTTAAAAAAAAAATCTAAGCTCCTGAATTTGAATTTACATGAAGTATTAGCAGTTTTGGAGTTCACTGAACAATTGCTTCTAAATTTTATAATAACCTGCCAAATTTTTATTTTTTTTTGGTTCCTGCCTAATTCTTCTCCAAATTATGTTCATTTTGTTTTTCATTTTGCATCAAAATAAAAATTAGAACGATTCTCTCTTCATCTCTCTTTTTATTAAAATAATCTTTCATACCAAAATCTAATCTCCCTAAATGAGCCTTAAATTTTGTCTTCTACACAATTTTTTTCTATGACCAAATTTGGTAAGCTATTACCAAATTTCTGTAAGCTAGACTTCTTATAGGAGAGGGAGTTGGGCAGTAGGGGGGTGGCAAAATATATTAATTGCACCTCACGACTTGTAAAAATTACAACTGTGGACTAAAGCGGGGTCTTATATACTTCTAGCTCAGCATTTGCAACATTCGCATGAGAAAATCATGAAAAGGAATAGCTACTACTTACCTTTTGGAATCTGGCATACCCATTCAAGTTTTGTGTCACAAGCAAAAGGCCTCAAATAAATATATTCTCTGTCATCATAGAAATGCCAGCTTCTTCGCCATGGCCTGTATATAACCTAAAGGAGGAAAAGGATTGCAGAATATTTTGAGGTTGCTGCTGCCCTTATGAAACATTAACTGTACAGACTGTGGCCTTGGTCCCTATTTCAGCCCTGGCACTTAAGCTTTCTGTTGAATAAATGATACATGAATGAATGGAATGTTTGAATAGTAACTGCCTGAGCAAAAGCCTTCTAAGGGGACTGAAATAAATTATAAGGCCATGTTTATGTCCAACATGTTAATTCCTGTCTCTTTTCCCCTTGATTTTATTGACAAGAAATTGTAGAATCTTGTACTTATAAAATTTGGGAAAAGATCAAGTTATAAAAGAACATTATTTCAGCAGTATTCAAGCACCAGGCTGTGACTGGAACAGATCAGAAGATGACACAGAAGTCCAGGCTCAGGGGCTATACTCCTTTAGTGTTGTTCTGACATTTCTAGGACGTTTCCCAATGCCTCATRGCCAGGGTGGCTCCCTGGGAATTCTAGTCAGCCACTTCTCTGAAGTGTTTACCTTTTCTGTGCTACTTTGGGAATTCTGTACAAATGGTATGATACTATAAGAGTTTATTACAAGAAGAGTTACTTTGAAAATAGTGTTTTCCAAAAACTTTCTCAATTTTTATTGGCCCCAACCTTCCTGTAGCATTTTCTTGGGCTACAAAGTAAAGATATTAACTGGATGTGTCCTCTTTCCTTGTCTTCTTTTATTTTTTAATTGGCAGTTCCCTCGAATCTACTTCTTAGCCCTTTCCTTTTTATAATATTCATTTCTCCCCTTCAACTCCTTCAAAGTTTCTTTAATTTCAACTTATGATAGGACACATCTTACGTCAAGGTTGGATTTAAAACTATCTAAATTAAAATAGAGCATATTCCACAGACCAGTACACCTTCCAATCATATTATACAGTGGTTAAGAGTACAGGACTCAGACATGTTACCACCAACATTTCAATCCTGTTACCACCTAACCCTGAGTAAGTTACTCAAAGCTCAAATTTCTTTCTCTACACAATAACTATGGTAATAGTTCCTACTTAACAAGGTTGTGTATTAAATTAAATAATATATATGACAAGCCTTGCACAGTACTTGACTTCTAAAGGAGTCAATAAGTGTTTGCTGCTCACCATCCCCACCATCACTGCCATTACCACGGTTATTCTTTCCTAACAACCCCGTTCCTGTGTGTAACCTGTATTCTGCCCGTCATAGCCCTGGCCTGATGGTATCATCTGCTTGTTTGTCTTTATCTCCTACTAGACTGGAAGTTCCTTGAAGACAGTGACAATGTTTTTTAGCCTGTCACTGTTTTATTCCCCTTCACAGATTCCCTGAACATGTCACTTATGAAATGGATAAAGGAATGCATTCTGCAGAGGTAAATGCCTAATGGGTCTTTTGTCTTCCACTCCTATCTGCTGTATTTTGAAATTTGTCTCAAGATAAATCTTCCTCATACTCTCAGTTCATGTCATCCTCCATCCTCAGAGACCTTTTTAATTGTCCTGTTGTTATAAAAAAAAAAAATGTACAAACACCTCATGGTGGCATTAATCTAATTTCCCAATGTTGTTGCAAAACAGCATTGAAAACAACTGCCTCCCCTTCTTTCCTGGGGATCAGGCCGAAGACCTCAAACATGCTAAACATGTGCTCTACCACTGAGCTACCATCTCAGTCCCGGATTCATTTATTTACTTTCAATGCAGATTTTCCAGCACTAGACTGACCTTGACAGCAGCACAGTCTCTGATGTCATAATCTTGCTGAAATTCATTTTCCATGATAATAGTAGACACCTGAAAAGACAAGAGAGCCTTGAGAATTTAAGAATGATGCATAAATATTTGCAATTTAGATGTAATTTAAGCAGCTTTAATAACGGAGCATGTTCATATGCAACTGAAAAAAAAACAGTTTAAAAATCAGGATGCTAAATCATGAGAAGACTTAGACAATGTCATAATGTCATAAGTTTCTAAACAAAGGAAGGCACAGTTTCAAAAGTGGAGGTTAATGATGTAGTAATTTTACTGCTATAGTGAGAGTGCCAAGACAATGACAACAACTACTTCTTCCACCTCCTCCGTCTTCTCTTTCATGTTTTGCATATGTTAAAATGCTGGTTATTTGATCAACTAATCTCAAATATGCTCCAAATTGAAAATACAAGTCAGAAAAAAAAAGGTCAGGAGTCTAACATTTAGAAAGAATACAAAATGAATTAACAGAAAGGGAAGGTGTAGCAAATATTGAATATTTGGAAAATTTTGCTGTTTGTGTTATTTAAAACATCTCTTCAGAATAATGTAAACATTTGAAATAATATTGGAAGATTTTTTAGGTTCCCCCCAATGAATTTTTTCTCTCAATAAATATAGTTTATCTTTATATAACTCCTATTTTTAGATAATAAAAATAAAAGTTTCTCATTATTAAAAAAAAATTAAAGCCAGTATGATGTGGCACACTTATAATCTCAGTGACTTGGGASACTGAGGCAGGGGGAGTGCAAGTTTGAAGACAACCTCAGAAATTTAGCAAGGCCCTCAGTAACTTAGCAAGACCTTGTCTCAAAATCAAAAATTAAAAAGATCTGAGGGCTGGAGTTGTAGCTCAGTGGCAGAGTGCTTGCCTAGCATGTGTGAGGCACTAGGTTTCAACCTCAGCACCACATAAAAAAAATAAAGGTACTGGGTCCATTTACAACTAAAAATATTAAAAAAAAAAGATTTGGGGATGTAGCTTGGTGGTTAAGGATCCCTGGGTTAAATCCCCATTACCCGCCCCTCTCTGCAAAAGAAGTAAAAAAAAAAAAAAAATTATTAAAAGCAAAATAAAGAAAAGCTTTGAGGAAAAAAAATTACTTTTACTAACCAAAGATGGCCACCACATCCATGTATCTATATTTTTCTCTTTTTTGGACCATTCATAAACTATATATATTTTTAAGTAAAAGTAAATTAGAACCTTGTTTTTTTTCCCCCACTTCATATACTTCATATATGTGAATCTGTTTCCATTTCAGTAAGCATGCAGCTTCACAATTTTGGTATGTGGATATATTTACGTTTTTTAATTGACAAGTAAAATTGTTATTTTTTTATCATATACAACATGATGTTTTAAAGTATAGGCATTGTAGAATGACTGAATCTAATTTACATATACTTTACCTCACATAGTTATCATTTTGGTGGTGAGAACACTATACATCCACTATCAGCATTATTTTTAATAACTATAATTGCCATGTTTCACAATAATAGATCTCCTGAAATTAATCCTGTTATCAGTATCTGAAATTTTATATCCTTTGACAAACATCTCCTTAATCCCCTAACCCCTGATAATCACCATTCTACTTTTCTAATTCTGAGATCAAGTTTTTTTGATTCCACATATTGGTGAGATCATATGGCATTTGTCTTTCTAGCTGGCTTATTTCAACGAATATTTTCACCTCGGGTTCATCCATGTTGTTGCAAGTGGCAGGATTTCCTTCTTTTTATGACTGAATAGTATTCCATTATGTATATATAGCACAATTCCTTTATCCATTCATCCACTGATGGACATTTAGGTTGATTCCATATCTTGACTATTATGAATAATGCTGCAATAAACATGGAAGTGTAACTATCTCTTCAAAATACTGATTTCGGGGGCTGGGACTATAGCTCAGTGGCAGAGCACTTGCTTAGTACATGTGAGGCACTGGGCTCGATCCTCAGCACCACATAAAAATAAATGAATAAAATAAAGGCATGGTGTCCATCTACAACTAAAAATATTAAAAAGATTACTGATTTCATTTCATTGGAATATATACCCATAGTGCAATTCCTAGATCATATGGTAGTTCTTTTTTTCTTCTTTTGAGTATTACTGGGGATTGAACCCCAGAGGGTCCTTCCTCTGAGCAATATCTCCAGTCCTATTTTTATTTTATTTTGAGAGAGAGTCTTGCTAAGTTGCCTAGGCTGGCTTCAAACTTGTGATCTTCCTGTCTCAGCTTCCCTAATTGCTGATATTAGATGTGGGCACTACGTACCCCCCACTGTCTTTTTTCTTTTTGATATCAGCTGTTCTAACAGGTGTGAGGTAATACGTGTTTGTGTTTTTAGTTTGTATTTCCCTGATGATGAGTAATGTTTAGCATTTTTTCATATATTTGTTGGCCATCTGAATGTCTTCTTTTGAGAAATGTCTTTTCAGATCATTTGCCCATTTTAAGTTGGTTTATTTGTTCTCTTGCTATTGAGTTGTTTGAGTTCCTTACATATTTTGGATATTAATGCTTTTTAGATATATGGTTTACAGATAATTTTTCCCATTCTGTAGGCTGTCTCTTGGTTGACTGTTTTCTTGGGTGTGCAGAACCTTTTCAGTTTGGCGTGATCCCATTTGTCTATTTTTGCTTTTGTTGCCTGTGTTTTGGGGTCATATTCCATAATTCACTGCCCAGACTAGTATCATAGAACTTTCCCTCTTATGTTTTCTTCTAGAAGTTTTGTAGTTTGGGGTCTTACATTTAAGTCTTTTAACTCATTTTCAGTTGATTTTTGTAGATGGAGTGAGATAAGGATCTAATTTCATGTTTCTGCATGTGGGTTTTCAGTGTTACCTGCACTACTTGTTGAACAGACTATCTTTTCTTCACTGTGTTCTTGATTGTCAGAAATCATTTGTGTGTAAATGCATGGATTTTTTTTTTCTGAGCTTTCTATTTTTCCACTGATCTATGTATCTCTTTATGGTAGTACCATTTTGTTTTGGTTGCCATAGGTATATAATACTTTTTATTTTATTTTTTGAACTCAGGAATTGAACTCAGGGATACTCAACCACTGAGCCACATCCCAAGCCCTTTTTGTATTTTATTTAGAGACAGGATCTCACTGAGTTGCTTAGCACCTCACTTTTGCTGAGGCTGGCTCTGAACTCTCAATCCTTCTGCCTCAGCCTCCTGAGCTGCTGGGATTACAGCATGCACCACYGTGCCCAGCTAAGTAATACATTTTTGAAGTCCAGGAGTGTGACATCTTCTACTTTTTGCTCAAGACTATGGTAATTCAGGTTCTTTAGAGATTCCTTATGACTTACCTGTTGTTGAAATAAACACTACTTCCGTACTACCCCAACAGAAGGTTTTAACTTACTGGTGTACGATCACTCCATTGCCACGATCCTTGTAGGTCTGGGCTCCTTTTATTCAAACCTATCCATAGCCAACGCTGGTCACTACATAAAGAGGAAGCATTAAAAATTTTTTCAGGATACTTGGTGAAAATATTTACCATTCACAATGCTTAAAGTGCTTCAGTCATATAACTTTATTTAGACTATCTTGTCACTGACTGGAAAACACAATCTCAAGCCATATAAAGAAGTCCTCTGAGCTGAGCATGGTGGTGCACACACCTGTAATTCCAGCTACATGGGAAACTGAGGATTGCAAGTTTGAGACCATCCTGGGCCATTTAGCAAGATCTTGTCACAAAATTAAAACAAAAAAGAAGGGCTGGGGATGTAGTTTAGTAACAGAGCACTTGTCTAGCTTGTGCAAGGCCCTGAGTTCAATTCACAGTGCTGACAAAGAAAAAAAGCCTTTTGAAATGAAACTGAACCCTTAATATGGTGTAGCTACAGAAAAAGCAGCATACTTTTAAATAACTAAAATTTTTTTTTCATGAAACACAAAAATAATTCTGCTTTAAACTTTCAAGACAAAAATGTTGTGATTATTTCAAAACTTTACTGCAGGGTTTTCACATTATTTTATTTTCAAATAGAGTCAAATACAACAATGGCATTTTAAAAAAGCATTGTCTAAACATTATCACATCTCTTTAAAAAGAACAGAACCATTTTGCTAAATTTATACTAAACAAGGTTCAAAAAATATTTTAATTTCTATTGCCCATTAAGTTGAAAGTAAACAAATTTGAGTATATTTGAAGTGCCAAARAAATATACTAGAGAGATACAATTAAACGATCACTTAAGTGATGACACATAATATTCATAAGTAGTATACTTTGATGTACGTGCTGGGCGCAATGATGACACAGAGAAGTACAAGACCTAATAATGAAGTAGTTAGGGAGACAAGATTTATATAAGAAAAGAAAATACGATAAGACCATTGATGAGAACTATCAAATAAGCTGTATAAATTTAAGTGCTACCAACGTTGAGAAGAAGGAGAGGTCACTGTGAACTGCAGAAGCAAAGGAAACACTTTCATGAGGTTAGGAGATAGTTTTCAAAGGATGGCTAACATTTCTTTCCAGCCAAAGTCTGAAGTGTACCATGTTCAGTATTCAGATTGGCCTAGAGGAAAACAGTTAGGCATTCCAAGGAAGAATATGTACACAATTATATGCACATTTAAGTGATCCCTTTCCTCAAATAAACTTAAGCTCTAGCCAGGGAAACAGATCTGCATAAGTAGAAGTGATAAGACTAAAAACTTTTCTGTTTCCATCCCTACATGAAAATAGTTTCTAAAATTTAAGACATCATAGGCAGACCAGTTATATTCCATATAATTGTGTGTGTGTGTGTGTGTGTGTGTGTGTGTGTGTGTGTGTTAGGTACTGAGACTGAACGCAATGCCTTCTACATGTTAGCCAGGTGCTGTACTACTGAGCTAATATCCCTGGTCCCATAGTACATATAATTTAATTTTCTGTTGGTACAAGGCATCAGTGGCACATGGATAAATACATATGTCTATAAGTGAGTATATGTGTATGCATACAGAATACATATATAAATATAGTATGAATATAGATACATATTAAAGAAGGGGTAGGATCCAAATCTAAAAACTATCCCTACTCTTAAGTAGGATGTGGAATATATGGAGTGTGCAACCACAAGACTACTGGGAAATATAATAGAAAATTTTGTAAAAATTTGTAGACCTATTGAATAAAAGGCTAGAACAAACTATTTTAATTGCTTTTCACTTTTTAATAAAATAATTGCTTTCCTTTATCTCTTTCCTTTGTTCAATATTCTTTCATAGCTTAATATCAATCAGTACTTTTTCATCATTTTAATCCCAAGTTTTTCAACTTGTTGCAATGGAATATGAAGATTGTCCTTTTTGGTTGTCAGTGTTATATTATTTTCTTTCATAGAGGACAATCACCAATTTGTGGACTTCAGATAAATCCAGGGGAGACAACTAAGTCAGTTTAAATTTAGTATCTATAAAAGGAATTTGCAGTTTGTGTCTTCAGTTAATTAGAGTTCTCCTAACAGCTTCCAAATGTCTCATACTGTCTGAGTTTTGGATTTCTACACTATAGATCTGGATAAGCACCACATACAGCGTAATTAAAGCCAGATGGCTAAAATAAAGAGGAGATTAAGTTTCCTTCCTCATACTTACTTGGCAATACAACTTCATTTCTCCCAAATCTTTACACAGTATATACTTGGGCCAGGAGAATTAGTGTAGAAATTTTGTTTTTCCCTAAAGTAAGCATTAGATAGTTTACCTTCTTTATGCAATCAACAGTATAGCTGGGCAGATGATCAAAGGTCAACTGCTGGGCATTCAGGAGGTTCCCCCAAGCAACCTTTGCAGAGGCCTATCCCCAGATTTCCAGGCTCCTGATGCCCTCACCTATTCTCCTTTCAGCCAATGGCTGCCCCTCCTCCCACTTAAAAGCTTTTTTGCTTTCAAGTTCATTTCCACATCTCAGCTGAATCTCAGAGGACAGTTTCCTAGAGAAAAAGAGTTTGCCCGATTGTCCAAAATATATTTAATCTTCACTACTTTCTGAGACTGAACTTCATTTCAACCCAGAAATTTAGTCTTCCGTTTCATTTCCAGGGATTCACTAGTGCRTCACAAATACAGAAAATAGTAGCTACTTGTGTTTGTGTGTGTGGTCCAAAGTGGAAAGCATTTTCTGAATTAYAACTTGTTCCAAGTTTGATCTGCTTTACCTGTAGCCAGATAAAGAAAGGTAAGAATAAACTGGAAATCACATCTATCATTGCAAACCTCCAATGCAGATTTCAGAAAACTGGAGGGAAAAATAGAAGTTAGGTACCTGATCATAATAGGAATCAGATCAAAATCAAACTTTCTCAATAAATTTCTTGTACTCCAGTCCAAGTATACAAACCAAGTATACAGTTTCAAGGCCTTTAGGGTAAGGAGACATTATATAAAAGGTTAATATGTGTGAGTGTGCTAAAATTCCTATTCTCAATCAAATTTCCTGTCGCATCTGGTTGCAAAGAAAAACAGTATCTCAGCCATAACCCCCAATAAATACTATTTGATGAGGGCTCTTAGTCTGCAAAGCCTTAGATTTATATCTAAATCCATTCATGCCACTTCACAGGAGGCAGTGTACACAGCAGCAATGGCATTGCAAATAAGCCTTTATTCTCTAATCCTATGACTATTTTTGCTCTACAATGGCTTTCCCTGTTGGGCTGCTATTAAGAGCTGCAAAGATCTCAGAGCCTTAATGACTTGGTGCGCCATGAATCCTTTTCATTGAAATACAAATAGAGATGTGGAATTTAGATTGTGAGAAGTATAGCAGTAATCTGACTTAACTCTTTGGCATGCAATACACAATTTGGGTGGGCAATGGACTTCTTGCTGAGAAAGGTCAATTCCTGCAATAAAAGCTAATGCATTCAAGGAGTAAGCTTTAGAGTCATTTTCTAATATGAATAGGTCTGCTTCCTTCTTTTCCTTTAAGCCATGGCTACATTTTTGGTTCTAGAATGTTTTCTTTCTAAGTACAGCACAGGGAAACAATCTCTTTATTAATGGAATACTTATTAAGCAGAAACACAGTCTGTCTAATATGGCATTATGTTGGCTGCTAGGATAAGACTACAAATAAAACATAATTCCTAAAGAGATTTGTTTTCTTTCCTCTGTGCTTTTCTGTTTTTTTAACTCCACATACATTATTTTTGTGATTAGAAAAAAAAACATTATACATAGTAATTCTGTGGACAATCATTTTATAAAAACTACATGTATAGGAATGGAAGAAAATTGAAAGCATTTACACTAATTGTTAACTATAACTGGGAACTAGGATTTGAGGTGATTCTTATTTTCTTCATTACCCTTTTAATAGTTTCCAAATTTTACATATGAACTTGTACTAATTTTTAAATGGGAAGTGCTTAAGTGTGATTAAAGAAATAAAGAGAAGTTCTTTAATTATCGTTCATATTAGTGTAATATGAACACATTCCTAGTGTAATCCAGTCAGTAATAGAGGCTCTTAACAGTCATTTCTATCACATGTGTTATTCCAGTGTTTTCCATCAATTGATTCCCACAAATCCTACACCTTTACTGCTTAGTACTTACCCATGACTCCCTTTTCCAATTAGAATTACTAACTCTAGAATCCAGAGTTTGTTTGCATATCATCGGTATTTTACTACAAGTACTTTATCTAGACAGTGTGATATTGTGCGGGTCAAGCTTGAGATCTTGGGGTCATTYGGCTGCTTTGCTCAAAATTCACACTTCAGAGAGGATCAGCAGAGTGTTAAAAAAGCCATGCCCCACAGGTGGCCACCACAGGGATGTGTGTGATCCAAAGCTACACCTGAGACTGTGGTAATTAGCCTCTGCTGAAAGTCAGGAAAGGGTTTACGTCAGTGAAACTAGAAGTTGCTAATCCGCATGATTTCAGAAATAGCTCTCCTTAGTGAAATTTAAATTATTCAAGATATGGGATTAACTAAAATATTTAGAAAGACTCTCACTCTTCATAAAAGGGTTCAAGGATCTTGGGAGACCAGTAGCTGTACCTTTAGAAATGGCACTAAGAGCTTGATCCCTAACTGGTCCCTTGTCCAGTCACTGGGTCAAGTGATTGCAGGCCTGATGCCAACTATAATGGGAATGAGAATCTGCCATTGGTGCAGAGGTTCATTTAATAATACTTTATCATTAATTGTGATATGGCTACTGGATTGAACTACTCTTCTATTTTTAATTCAGAAAGAACTTATATATTAATTGTATTCATTAACTATATATCAAGTATATATATTAAGCCAGAAATGAATAAGAATTTTACCAGATGCATTTTTAGTGCCTATTAAGATGATCACATGGCTCTTGTGATTAACTCATTTGCTATTTGAGTTAATATGGAACAAGCACATATCATAAGGAGGTCAAGAAGTGATGAGTTAGGGATCCTGGCAAATTGAACAGTGATGTCACATCTCAATGGGCCACCAGCTACTCACACTGACTCATATGCAGTGTAATATGATTCATTGCCAGTTTTTTCAATTTTTAAARAGATGGGTTTTTATTGAAATGTCTTAATTTTGTAACACTTTGTATACCCTTTCTTCCAGGAAAAGAACATCATTACTTTGGGCTGCAGAGGTGCTAACTGGCTGTTTTTACGTCTCTTATAGCAACGTAGAATTGGATACTATTATTGAACAAATTTGTATACTCAGACTTAATCAAAACCGACAATGGGTCTTTTGCCAACTTGTTTTATGTTGGATTTCATCCTTGATTATTTTATTTATTTATATTTATCTATATGGGCTCCACCACAACMGATTATACATTCAATAGATGGGCATATGCTTAAATTTTACTAAACATTATCTTCAAGCTTTAAAAATTTATATAATCAATGTTTCTAAATAATTTCCAGGTAAAATGAGAAATTTACTATGCTTTCATTTTTTTCACAACTGTTTTAACTTTCTACATTCTAATTTTTATTTATATAAACAGTTAAAAACCTGGTGTTATTAAATTATTCTTATATTTCTCTTTCAAGACAGAGGATAATTTCGTTCTGTCTTTATAATTATATTTATTACAACTACTTAGACTTTGGGCTAGGTTTTAATGTTATATTATTGCTTCTGATTCTTTTATAATGAAATCCCTACTCAAGTGTTTTTGATTTTTGTATTCATCTCTTAACTGGAATTTGTCTTTGAAATTTTTTTTCCAAGAAGGTAATATGGGTGGTTAATATCAATTAATTTCTTCACAAGTGAAATTAATTGGAAACTAAAATTAATATATTATAGGCTTTTTCTGCCTCAAAACTTTTTAGATATCAGTCTTTAAATATCTTCTACATTCCAAAGAAGGCTAGTTAAACTTTTTTTTTGYTTTGGCAAACTATTTTAATTTTTGCTGTTTTCCTTGAGATTTTTGTTAGATTCAAAATGATTGGGAAAATATAATTTACTCTGGTATACCCTGAACTTTTTTTTTTTTTTAAGACAGCTTTGGGTCTTTCTTCAGTTCAGAAAGTGAAAAGAGAAAAACATTTTGTGGAGTTGATGAACCTAATAACCATGATTGTGTGCAAAGCTTAGAATTTTTTTTTTCCAAGACAGCATCACCTGGCTCATATTTTTCCATATTGTCCTTAAAGACATCAGGAAAATTGACAAGGAAGGCTCCTTCTACCTCAACATTAAAATCACAATGGCTATTACTTCTATGATCACTTCCAATTTTCCCTTTCTTACTGCCCTTCCTCTATGCAGGCTTCCACCAGAGCAGCTGTACTAGCTTTCTAACTAGTTGGTCTGCATCGACCTACAGAGCTACTCCCCTCTCTGTATGTATGTGTATGTATGTATGCATTTATATGTATATGTGTATCTGTATGCTTGTGTATATAGGAATATAAGTGGTTTATAYCACTTAATTAATCTCTTCACAAATGAAGTTAATTGGGGACTAATTAACTTACTTGTTTTTTACTTATTGACTTAAACTCATTCTCTGATAAGCAAAGGAATCTCAATTTCGTATYCAAATCTTATTTTTTAGCCAAGTAGTATGATTCATTTCTCCTTGCCCACAACTGTACATTCTGTTCTCAGCACCTTGACTTGTGTTTTCACTGGCTTTTTCTATTTTACTTTTAAAAATATTACCTACCCTCCAATAATCAGCCTTCCTCATGACATTTCTCTTGATCATACCTGCCAGGAAAACTTCCTCCCTTCTCTGAATTGCCAAGGCCCCTCTTTATCTATGCTGTAGATATTTTTTTTACATACTTTTCTTAACACTGTTGTTGAACTTTACTAGGACAAAGGACAGGGACTGTGTCTCACTCATCTCTGAATCTCTCATGGTATCTTGCATATAAGAGTGCTTGATATTGCATGACTGCTAAGCACTGGTTTTTTAAGATAATATAACATGTTAATCTGAATATTTATAAGACATCACATTTAGCACAGAAGCTCATTCTAGAAATATTACCTGAACTGCTCCCTTAACCAGTGAAGGTATTCCTTGATTTCAATCATATGACTGAAGCTAGGCAGGTGTGCTCCAAGTGCTTGGCAGAATCTTTCAGCTTCTTCCCAGTTCCTCTTTCTCACAATTCTTTCTGCATGGAATGCCTTGACAAAATATAATGTTAATTTGTTTTCTGGCATAATCATGAAGTGTTCATAGTTTTTAAGTCAATTATAGTCAAAATATTATGGGACCTGAAACTGATCCTCATAATGAAGGCACAGGAAAATCTGTGTACAATGAGTCAAGGACCCTTCATGCTCTAAGTGTCAACTAAAGGCCTATAAAGATGATCACTATTGTCAGATGTATGAACTACCTCAGTCAGGCTGGTAAACTGCTCCAACAAGATACCATGTTCTAATGCATTCCCAGGACTTTGAGAGAGAAAATGAACCAGTAGTCAAGGCTGTAAGGGGTACATAAGGAAGCTCTGGGAGAAGAATTCTGCAAAGAAGTATGCTAACAATATAATTTCGAATGCAAGCCATTAATACCTACATAAGAAGAGGACTATTTTCAGATCAGGAAGTAGCAAATAAAAGTCTGTCTTGATGTGTGAACTTTGACAGAAGGCAACAAAACAAAACCTGCCACTGTGGATTGTTTCCTTTTTGTGTAATGATTAATTTTAGGTCAAAGAAATCATTATTTCAAAAAAGAAGAGAAAATGCACTGGTAGGACAATTATTGGTCCCAGTTCTTCTGTTCCCTATGATATAATGACACATTCTTGYCATGGCCTCTTTGGGGTGGAGTAGACTTCTCTGTACTTTGATGTGGGGTTTGGCGATGTAGCTTTCTGTGATTAATGGGAGACTAGTGTAGCTAAAGTGAGCAGAGGCCTGAGATGTGCTTATGTGGTTAGGCTTGACTTCTTGGGCTCCAGTGATTTGCCACAAGAAACAATCTCCTGAGAGAGGCTGCTCATTCGGCTTGAGCCCTAGAGTCATCATAGGGAGTCCCCCACAGCTGACCTGCRGCTGGAAATAGAGTTGACCATTCAAACTAGATCAGTCAAACCCTAGCTGACCCCAAGATTTATGAGCCTGAGACTAAACACTGTCATTGCTACTAAGATTTGGGGTGGTATCTAATGGTTGGTTTGTGGAACTGACTGACTGACTGAATGACCCATTTTTTCCCATAATGAGAAGGGATGAACCTCTTTATTTGACAAGAAGTAGAGGGATACGAGAATCACAAGCATTGCATCAGCATGGTGGCAGCCCACTGACTCTCAGGAGGAGAGAAGCCAGGCAGAGGGCCAGTTCTGGCTCTGGCCCTACTCTTTTGGGGAGGACATGTGCAGAGTGTGGGAYTGAAACACCTGACACCAAAGTTTCCAAATGTCCTGCCAAGGACTCTATGCTCCCAAACACTTTTTTAGGTTATATGTCTATGGCAAGGAACATAATTTGTACAAAGACATTAACTAGGATAGTGCAGAGATGACACCACTGAAGGACTGGATGAGAATGCCGCTTTACCTTGTAACAAGAAACACCGGAGGGGAAACCATGCCAGCCTTCAGGACAAGGGCCATCAGGCTTGGGGGCTGCTTTTTCAGGCTCCAGGGGTCCACTTATTTTCTTGCAAATTGAAAGTGCTCTGAAGCTTCTGCAGTCCTTYACCACCCACTTGCCAAGAGACTTTCCAGTTGACATAGCCACGCACCCACCTGGAGACGCTAGGGTTGAATGGGAAAGTTTAATTAAAACTTTAAAGTCCAAAAATTTTCTATCATGTATTTCTTCTCTTTATTTGAGCCAAGGTAGGGAGAAAAAATAAGAAAAAACAATGGAGGAAAAAGAGGAAAGAAAGATATTGTTCAGAATAATGATTATGATGGATGATGATGGTGGTGGTAGGTATTATAAAGAAGTATTGACTCCCAATCAGATACCACTCTAGGGATTAAGCTCATTAATTCTTTTTTTTTTTGGGGGGGGGGTTACTGTCGATTGAAAACTCAGGGGCACTTGGCCACTGACCCACATCTTCAGGCCTATTTTGTATTTTATTTAGAGACAGGGTCTCACTGAGTTGCTTAGCACCTTACCATTGCTGAAGATGGCTTTGAACTTGCGATCCTCCTGCCTCGGCCTTCCAAGCTGCTGGTATTACAGGCCTGCACCACTGCATCCAGCCTAATTAACTCTGACAACAAACCAGAGGGTGATTCTAGCCACAACTGAGGTAAGTGAGGATGAAGTGACTTGTCCAAGATCACTCTATTAGTAAGCAGCTGACCCAAAGCAATCTGCTTCCAAGGTGGTATCCCAAACCACTATGCTGCAGGGAAATAGTTCCAATTCGCTTAAAAAACTTTGAGCAGTTTCTAAGCAATTCAGTTCACTTCAAAATAAAACCTTGTCAGATTCAGATCCAAAGGAAGGGTGAGGACAATAAAGACAGAAGGAGGTATGTGGAAACATATTTGTTTACTATYTATCTGACAGTCATAATTTTATTTGTTCATAACAACATTAAAAGATAGTTTATTTGGAATGGAACCACCATTTGACCTAGTCATTTGACCTACTCCCAAAGGATTTAAAATCAGCATACTAAAGTGGTACAGCCACATCAATGTTTACAGCAGCTTGATTCACAATTGCTAAACTATGGAACCAACCTAGGTGCCCTTCAACAGATGAATGAATAAAGAAACCATGGCATATATACACAATGGAATATTACTTGGCCATAAATAAAAATGAAATTATGGTATTATGGTATTAATACCATAATATTGGTATTAATTGTTATTATTTGTAAATGGATGGAACTGGAGAACATTATGCTAAGCAAAAAAAGCCAATTCCAAAGAACCAAAGGTTGAATGTTTTCTCTGATAAGCACACCTTATTCATAGTAAGGAGACAGTCATGGGTGGACTAGACAGAGGGAAGTGGGGGGGGCATAGGGATATGAATGATAGTGGAATGAATTGGACATTATTACCCTATGTGCATTTATGATTACATGACCTGTGTAACTCTACATCATGTACAATCAGATGAATGAGCAGTTAATACTCCATTTATGTATGATTTATCAAAATACATTCTACTGTCATGTGTAACTAATTAGAACAAATTTAATTTTTTTTTTAAAAAAGGTAGTTCGTATTACCAGATTTTCTTTTCTTTCTTTTGTGTGTGTGTGTGTGTGTGTGTGTGTGGTACTAAGGCTTGAAGCCAGGACCTTGCACATGCTAGACACGTGCCCTACCACTGAGCCACATTCCCAGCCCTCAGATCTACTTGTGAATGAAGACTAAATTACTTGACCCTAGTCATAGTAAGTGAGAGGAAAAGTTGAAATTTGAACTC